GGGTTGGGGAAATTCATTTTTCATCATCCCTCTTCAAAATCTCTTCGATTCTCTCGACCCAAAATCCTATTTCACTAATTAAATTGCCTCCAAAGCCATTTGTGAGTTAGATTGAAGGTTGGATTCGTGTGGAAATGCTTGGAGGTGAGTTTTAATGGTTAGGATTTTGGTTTTTGTCCCTCTTCTTTGGGTTCTCCTTGAGTTCTCATGGAGTTTCCATGTGTTTTAGGGATGAAATTCGTGTGAGGATTCTTTTTTGTCGTTGATTTGTGTGTGAGTCTCCAATCCAAGGTAAGAGGAGACTCTACCTTATCTCATTATGTTTTGATTTCTATTTATTTTGCTAAATATTGCAATGTGGCTGAGATAAAAGGTAGAAAACGTGTATTGATAGAAATTTTTGTGTGTTTGAATGCAATTTGATATGTGATGAGATGGTTGAGCCCACTAAGGGTATTGTGTGTGTGGTAACATGCCGTTGATTTATGAGAATTCAATGTTTAAGTGTGATTTGGGCCTGAGTGCCGTGTAATGTGAAGGAATGTAGGCCTATGTGCCGTGTGCGAATATGAATATTGCATGTAATTTGAAATGTATGTGAATGGGACATGTTAAGTGTTGTTGTAATAATACTATAAATGGTTCAGCGATACACTAGAGGTATGGAAGATGGGAACGGTAGAAATACCTTGGGGAAGAAAGAGTGGTGGTGACACCAACAGTGAGCATGGGTGCACCATGGGCTACACACTCTCCTCCTGACTAAACCTGTGACCATTACCTTTGCCAAGCGACTCATGACTGTGCACGTAGTATTCGTGATGTGAGGGTAACTGGCGATCATCCATGGTGTGAATTTGTGATCACAGTGCCACAATGACTCAATGAGCGTGGCTACGTGCGGTGAGCGCACGTGTGTATGTAATGTCTAGTGCAGTGAGTGCATCATTTAAGAATTAAAATTAAATGCTTGAAAGTATTGCCTGTGATTGTCTATACTTGAATGAAATATGTTGGAATACATGTGGGTGTGTAAGGTGAGTCTCTATGTTGTGTGTGTGTTGGGTAGTATAGAGTACTTACCCTTATATTTATTTTTCAGGTAACCAAGACGACCGGCACCAGACTCAGTGAAGGAATGGATGAAACCGCTATAGGGCTCTGATTTTATTTTAAAATTTTAATATATTTGAATTAGTTTTGTAGCAGTTTCCTTAACTAAAATTTGTAAACACTTATTATTTCAAAATACTTGTTGAACCATGTTTCGAGAACCATTCGAATGCAATTTTTTATTATCTCTATATTTATGAAATTCACTTATTTTGGAAATTAAATTTAAGGCGTTACAAAATGCTTAATTCCTTTTAAGCAAAAATTTAGATTTGAGTTTTGTGAATGGAAAAAAAAAATGCTGAAAACAATTAACTCTACGCTGTTATAAATGTTTCTAACTCAAATAAGTAGATTTCTATAATATTAATAAAAATCTCACTTGAGTTAATTTGAATATCTTGATTTGATTTCTTGTAGCTATAGTAATATTTTCTTCTATTGAATATTCCAAATTCTGAAGAGATAATAAAGAGCAAATTATATCTTATTCACCATAAAAAAAAAGGATTATTTTTTCCCATGTCAAAAACTAAGGTTTGAGTTTGCTTTCAAAATATATATCGAATAACCTTTCAAAATTGTTTTTTTTAATGATTTTTGTAGACAATTTTCACCGATCCTCTTTATTTTGACATACATAAATATATATAAAACAATAAAAATAAGCAAAAATTAAATATTTTATATAATATCATTTATAGTGTTAATTTTTAATTGTTTAATTTTTATTGCCAAATAGCTGGAGAAGCATTATGATAATTAAATAAGGAGAATAGGCAGCATGCTACATGAAGCAAAAAATCACAAAAGAATTCACAAGCCACGCTTGCTTCATCCAAATACAAAAGTCCACTATCGTAATCTTAAACATTGGAGTTAATGAGACATTGTCATTTTCTCTCCGCAATAAAAAATTAATTTTCAAACGATATATTGATTAAGCAAAAGATAAAGGCTCAAACTGAGGGCATTTGAGTTTTGTGGGATGAGTTAGGTGAATATGGAAGTCTATGGCTGTGTGAATTTCGCTTTTGAACATAGCTTGCAAAACAACAACGTGAGGGCAACATCACCTTTTGCGGTGTTATCTTTCGCCTACATCAACGCTCAAGCATTTTTCCCTTTCAGTCAGTTTCCCCAACCACAAAGAATTGGATGTTCACTATATCCACTCTTATTCCTTCTACATAAATCATCAATCATTCTAATCATACAAGAAATTGGATTTTAGTTCTACGTTAACTGCTTTTTAAAGTCATTTTCAAACTCATAAAACAAGTTTTTTATAACTTTTAACTTTTATAAACAAAATATATTCAACTCATGAATCTTTTAATCTTGATAATAAAGTTAGTCTCTCTTAAACACTACACATTAAATAGTGCGAAACATTATCTAATTTAAAACAAAACTACTCTCACAGCTCCTTTCTAACATAGTATTTAATGTTTTATGCTATTAAAATTTTTTTTAGACTCTTCTAACTATTTTTTTTTTCATTTTCAATAAAATTTGTGTGACGAGAAGATTACATAAAATAGGAAAGTACACTTTGTTATTATGCATTACTATTAACATAAACTACGCTTTGTATTAACATTTATAAGATTATCAAGAACTTATAGCATCTTAACTAACCAAATACATTGATTGATTTGAATTCACCTTTATTATGACATCTGCCAACACATACTTGCGACAGGACAAAGTAAACAAAGATATATTGATTAAAATGTTTTGTTTTTCATCAATATATTTATATAATCTTAATTTCACTTTCTTATTTTTTTCGTTTTTATGTTCAGTTTTTAACTATTTGTATTTTTAAAATTTTACTGATATAATTTATTAAAAACTAATATATATTTTTTAACCGTGTCAATAAAATGCCAAAATAAGCACAAATTGGCTGTATGTTCGTTGTTGAAATTGGGTAGTAAAAACGTGCATTTGGAATTTTGAACTTCTGCAATGATCAAAGTTAAATTTCACCAGTAAGTTAAAAAATAAAAAGTACAAGCGACAAGTCTCTATAGTGTTTTAAGGTTTTGGATTAAATAATTTCTATTCAACTTTTATGATTTGTTCTTCACTCTTTAGATGAAGATCTCTTTAGTTACTTACATTGTAAAGCCTAAGTTTTACTCTCTGAAAAAAGAGAAAAAACTCTTGTTAATAATCTTTTAAAAATCGTGGAGTTAAAAATTAATTAATAAATGACATTAATACATTAAAGAAACTAATTTTATTTTTTTTATGTTTTAGTAGAGTTCTTTTTGTAAGTTCTTAGGAGTTGTGTTTAGGAGAAGAGGGGAGAGGTTAAGAAAGGTTAACTCTTATTTGGGAGTCACTTAATTAATTGGAAGAGTTTGGAGAGTTTTCTAAACCCTCTTAAAACTAGTTTTTTAGAGTTCTCCCATTTGGAGAGTTTTTTAAAGGTTTTCTCACGTTTATTCTTTCATACTCATTCATAATTAGGATTTTAACTTTTTTTTATTTTAATTTTTTAAGTAAGAATTTTTTTTAAAAATTATAAAAAATAAAAATATTAAATTTGAGAAAAATATTTATTTTTTATTTTTGAAAAAATAGAAAATACATAAATAAAAGATATAAAATACAATGATATTATTTATATAATTAAACTCCCAATTATCCTCTCCTCTTAATATTAAACATCCAAACAAAATGAAGATTTAACTCCTTTCTCCTTCAAATATTTTCCATCCCTCCCTCTCCAAACTTCCAAATAAAGTCCTAGTCTCCTCTAGAAATATGCTATCATAAAGAAATAACAATTTTCTTACATATCTATCTTGTTATGTATAATTTAAAAATATTGAATATAAATACTAATATATTATATGTTATTAATTAATATAATGACTGAAAAAGTTTTAATTGATATAATGAATTGAAAGAGTATTTAATATTTAAAATCATTTTTAATTCAATCATATTATGTTTTTTTAGTTGATTAAAGTTTTTAAAAATAAAATCAATAAAATCTTACTAAATATCAATAATATCTAAATGAATTCACTATATTATTAATTGAAAAAAAAGGTAAAAAAAAAGTGATTATTTTATTTTATAAGTAATTTCACATCCTAAGAAACTCAAAAGATAAATTATAAATAGAATTATAATAATTTTATTATTTTAAATTAAAAGATATTTAAAAATAAACTTTTAAGTTGGGCCGATCTTGCCTCTCATTTTATCCTAACAAATATTTAATACAATAATATTTTTCAATCTTAATTGGGCATTACATCTCTTCTTGTTAATGATAAATTTGAAAAAAGAACACGTGTTAATTGCACTACTTGAAGAAAAAGAAAAGATATATATATATATATATATATATATATATATATATATATATATATATATATATATATATATATATATGTTGGGTTCAATCAAAGAAATAGAAACCCTTTGATTTTAAACGTTAGTTGCAAGAAGAACATCACTGAAATAAGCATCATACACACAAATAAAAATGCATTCATTGTGCTATTATTTTGAAGTCGGCAAAGTGCAATTCATGATTCATAAAATCTTATACTCCAACTCGTACACAGATAGATACACATTCATACAACTGGCCACCATCGAATGAGCAAAATATTAATTTATCGAGTACCATACTTTAAAACAAAATCTGGACCAACAATAGTGACTAAGATAACATTTTTTTTATATAAAAAAAAAAGTATAATGAAATTAGTAGTCACTGGAAAGGCTCTAGTATGAGATGAAATCTAAACCAAATGATGAATAAATAAATATAAATCACATCGAACCAACCAATCTTGTTCTAAAAGCTCAAACCCATCAAACTAAACCATCAAAATAATAATAAAAAAAGTGGGACGAACACAAAAAATGATTCCAATGAGTTTTTTTTGGGTTTTGTTGTGCGAAGAATGTGGTTTGCACATAGCTTTCAAGATCTCCTTGTGGGTTTGCGTTGAAATCTTCGTGGCTTAGCGTGAAGAGTTGGACTCCCATTACATTCTATTACTCCACGTCATCATACAATCCCACACCTTTAAACCCAAGAACACCTCTATTTTCCTCTCACCTTCAATCCAATTCACAAACCAAACCACCAAAACCTTTCACTTTCAAAGTTCTCTGTTTTCCTCTGTTTTTTCTCTGTCTTTCTCTCCTAAAATAAAAATGGAGGGTCTCATTCCATTTGTGTACAAAGCTATAATGCAATACAAGAATGGGAAACAAGGACCTATTGGATCATGGCTTTGTGAGTCACCTTCTTACTCATACATGAAACTTCCCGGTGACTCGGGTCGGTTTCAAACCCCTGCTGCAAATCTCTTTGGTTCAGATTATGGGTTTTCTGCCTCTTCACCATCTTCCAAGCCTTCTACTTCTGCAACCCAAATCATAGTTTCTTCTGGTGTTCAATCTCCACACCGTCGTTTGAACTCACCTGGAGTTTCAACATGAGCATCTAAATCAACATGTTGTACATGAATGTATTTACTTCTTGTATTGTTAAGTGTGTATGTTTGTATTTTTAAATTGTTCAAGTTTGGGTTGTAATTCTAACTTGCAAGCGTTTGGGTATAACCAAAGGAGTCCTACGCTAGCATATTTGTCTTGTGCAAATGTAAATATTGGGTCTTATGCTTATGATGATGTATGTGTTTCATGGCCAAAGGGTCATTTATAATATTTGCTTTTTTAAAAATGAAAATTATAAGTGAAATGAATGGGTTTCTTGGCCCAAGGGGCCAAGGGAAACTATGAATTTGTAGAATAATTAGACTGCAATTTTTTGTTTGTTTGTTCTATTTTTGGTATGGATTTATATTCTCCATTGTTTAGGATGGTTGTTTCTTAGATTTTATTGCATTTCGAAGTGTGATTGTTTAGACCAAAAATAGTGTGTGGTTTAAAGACTATATCTCTCTTCACGTCGCGTCATAAACGGCAAATTGAGAGTAATCAATTGAGGAATATTGAAACTATCTTGTCAATCAACTAAAATACTTGTTTAGATATTATCACCTAACAAAAAGTGCATAAAAATATGTTTCTAGTTGCTAATTACATCTTGTTTGGTGGATGATGGCGTGTATAAAGGGAAATTGTCTTTATGAGTTGGCTCACTTGGGCTGCGTTTGTATATGTTGCATTGAAGTTTCAAAGGGTAAACACTTGAAATTTTTCGTTGTGCTGATTTGTATCTTATAGAGTTTTGCTTCGGCTTGATTTGAAACTATTTATCCAATAATCTCGATTTTCCTTCACGAATGAGAGATCAAACTTAAAATTCTACTTCACGTGATTATCACCATGATTTTAGAACAGCAACAACGCATATAAGCTGGAACCAAAACTGGATCTTTCTTTTGTTAGTTTTATTTTTGTTTCTACGACAAAGGCATAATATGGGGAGCAGGGTCACTTGTAATTTAGTACGGCTTTATTTATAAAAGAAAAAACTTAATTTTGTGGAAAAGTTATTGCTTCTGCCAAAGTTATTTGTGTTTTCCAACCAATTTTTATTTGTTAATATTCTTTCACAGCATACTTAATATTTTGCAAAGTTATCTAGGAATGTTTGCAAAGATCGTTAGGGACTAAATTAAAGCTTAATTCAACATATCATCACCAGACCGATGGATAAACAAAGTGAATCATCCAAATTCTTGAGGACTTGTTACAAGCCTGCATGATGGAACAACAAAGAGTTTGGGATGAATGTCTACCTTTGGTAGAATTCACATACACATCAGTTTATCATGCCAGCATTGGACCATTGTATGAAAGGAAGTGTCGAATGCTTTTGTATTGGTACGAGTTGGGAGAAACAATTCTGTATGCACCTGACTTTGTTTAAAGACAAAATGATCAGATCAAGCTAATTAGAGAAAAGATCAAAGTTTTTCAAGACAGACAAAATAGTTATTATGATAATTGGAGAAAATTTTGCGAGTTTCAAATGGAAGATCATGTATTTTTGAAGGTTTCACCTACCACTGGAGTCGGTGGAGCTTTGAAATCTAAAAAGTTATCACATAAGTTTATTGGACCCTTTGAAATCCTATAAAGAATAGGCTCTATAACTTATCAAATTCCCTTACCACCCAGCATTTCAAATTTACATACAGTTTTGTCTCAACTTAGAAATTACATCCCACATCCTCTCATGTAATCAAAATTAATCTTGTTCAAGTTCGAGAAAATCTCTTTTATGATGTATTTTCAGTAAAGATCACTGATTATCGAGTTAAGCAATTGAGAAGCAAAGACATATTTTTGGTGAAGGTGACCTAGAATGCAAATGATGAAGGGGATACAACTTGGAAACTTGAAAACAAAATGCAGATGGCATATTCTCCTCTCTTCCTCACTTAATGAATTTTGGGGGCAAAATTTTTAAATGAGTGAGAGAATTGTAACACTCTTTTTTAGTTATTTACTAATTACTGAATTGTTGATACTAGATAATGATTAGAATATGTTTTGGGAATTATTTTTTATTTTTTAGTAGAAGTTTGGTGCAGGGGTCTCGCTTAGGCGAAACAGGTCTCGCTCAAACAAGACTGAGCACCTAAAATCACAAGATTTCAGAGCATTCTCGCTCAAGCCATAATAGGATAAATTCAACCCAAATGTCCTCTTACCCAGGCAAGAGTGATCTTACTCAAACGAGCTGTCATGCCTATGTATCTGTGTGTGTGTGTGTGTATATATATATATATATATATATATATATATTCACTCTTTTCCTTTGAAGATAATGTTGTAATCATTTAATTATGATGCCTTTATATGTTGAATGTGATGTTGTATGTTGGTTATGGTGTGAGATGGCTTGAATTCTTGTATGTATAAGTTGTATGGTTGTTGAGTAAAATGTTAATGCATGTTGTGTAAATTTGGAGGATTTTGGTTGATGTTAAACTGCAGGATAAGATAAGATTAAACCAACAACCTTTTCGTTGTAGTGAGAAGCCCTTGCTGTAGCGAAAATGACATTTAGTAGAAAGGGTCCATTGTTTAGTATATCTCGCTGTAAAGAGCTAAAGAGTATTTAAATGGATTTTGAGCTGAAAACTTTTATTTCTCACCAAAACTACTTTTCCCTCTCAGTCTCTCTGTTCTCTCATCTCCTTCCCTCAAAGAAAGTCTTCTCAAGGCTGAACTCCTTCTCGATCCAAGTGAGAACATCCACTTAGTGCAGATTTAGGTGAGTTCCTGAAAACACTTAGTGGTGTGTGAGGGAATAAACAAACTTTATGCAAATCAAATAATAAAAATGTGTAAGGAAAAAAATAAAATAAAAATCAATCAAATAAACTATAATAGAAAGTGCGATAGAAAGAAAATAAAAATTGAAATTATTTTAATTTGAATTTTTTTAAAAAAATATTTATTATTTTTTCAAAGAAAAGTTTTTTTAATAAAAAATTTGAAATTTGAAATTTAAACAAACTAAATATAATCTAATTTAATTTTAACTATAATTTAAAATTCAAATTTAAATATATTAATTTTTTAATCTAATATAAACTAATCTAATCAATATGCAAAAGTCAAAATCTAGTGAATCCTTATTCCGCTGCTCCTTAAATCTTTGCAAAATTTCTGCGAAATCCTTGCAAGTCACAAAATTCTACAGCAATCCTATTAATCCAATTCTCCAAAAATTCAAAATTCAAAATTAAATGCATTAAAATAGAAGAATTTCATAATGACAAAAACACACAAAACAAATAACAAAAATAACTTGCAGCATTTAATAAATAATTAGAAGATAATTTTTTTTCTATTATTAATAATTAACCTTATTAATGATGAAAATTAAAATTAAAATTAAATACACCTAAACAAATGAACTAATGTGTAACACTCCTATTTTATTATTTATTAATTTTATATTTTGTGTGAATTGTTAATGCTTGTTACTTGAAATTAGGAGAATTTTAGGTGTGTGAGTTGCAGGATTTCTCGCTGTAGTGAGGTGTGTCGTGCTGTAGCGAGAAATGAGTGTCCAAAATTAGGCTCTCTAATGCTTTCTCGCTGTAACAAGGATGTTGGAGCTCTCGTCGTAGTTAGAATGATAGACAACAAAGTAAAATTTTGTTTGGTTTTTTTGCTACAGCGAGAGAAGGTCTAACTATAGCTAAAATCTCTTGCTTTAGCGAAAATGTCGCAAATTAAGGGGTATTTAAGGTTTTCAAGTTGAGAAACTTGGATTATAATCCAAGTCATGACCCTCTTCATTCTCTCTAACCTCTCTCCTCATTTTCTCATAAAATCCTTGAAAAATCTCAATCTTTCTCTGATTAAGTCTTAGGAGTTCACTTTCCTTGCTACTTGGTAAGTTCTTGGAGCTTGGTTCTCTATTCCTTTGGTTATTTTCTTGTTTTTCCTACTTTAAATAGGATCTCTTACGATATTTAGAAAGAACCTAACCTTTTGAACAAAAAACTCTAAAACCCTTCACTAAACTTTCATTTCAAGATAAGGAGAGCTGTATCTTGTTACTAAGAAAGTTGTATATTTGTGTTCATGAAAATGCTATGATGAAATGCATGATTTTGAGTATATGTTGGATAAGAACATATTTTTGTTATGTTTGAAGCATGTTTTGTGGTGTTGGATTATGTGTATGATCCTTGTTTTGAGTGTATATGCATGTATGTGGTGGATTGAGTTTGAGAGTGACTAACTCTCGGCAATGATTGATTAATATATGACGTAGTAATAAACTTGACGAAAATAGAGAAATGGAGGGATGAATAACATGATAAAATACAAATAATAAGCTCATGTTATAGCAAATAATAAGTTTAGGCCATAATGACTAATGAGAAGAGTAAATCCATAATGAGAAATATAGAGATGAGATGGAAAATATGGAAAGTGAAATGAGATGAGGAAGAAATATGATAAGGACAAGTATGGATAGTTCAGAGGTACATTGGATTCATTGTTATCTCTTAATTTCTAATGCCTAATGTAATGTTTGATTGATTTATACCTAAGAAATTACGGTAGTTAATTGAATATTAGGGTTATGAGGCAAGGGATTGTCCTTTGATTAACTAAGTAAAATTGATCATCAATCACTTAAAGAACTTAGAGTTCAAATCTCATTCAGTTTTGCAATTGGTAAAGAGGTGAAATCAGTTCTAACTTCATTCACATATAATTTCATTACTAAAATTCGTAACTCTATTTTGTTGTGATTTTCTTATTTCTACACTTTATTGCTTTTGTTTGCAAATGCTCAAAACACTCCAAAATTCGTTTAGCTTAACTAGTTATTGATTTGTGAAGTGGTAATTGATAAAATTAATCTCTGAAAACGATACTTGGAACTCAAATGAATTCCAAATTTTATTATTTGCTACATTTACCTAGTACACTTGCTAGTTGATGAATCCATATTTTTACTGATATTTTAGCATAATTCTAGCTCATTTAATAAGGAAAATATATGAAGAAAGCAGAAAAACTCAGAAAAAGAGAATGATTGAAAGTTTTATTTCAATTTGTAGTTATTTTCGCATTTGTAGAATTTATGCTTAGTTCTTAAGGAATTTATCTTGTTTTTGAAGGAATAATCTGAGCAAAAGTCATGGAAATGGATTATCAATGGAAAGGAAGAGGAAGAATGGCAATGTTGGACTCCAAAATACAAGAATTATGGGATGCAGGCTGGGCGTGATCACTATTGTTAGTGAAAGTGATCATTCCAGAGCCTAAATGAGAAGAGGAGCCTGTGCGTAATCACTTTTATTTATAAGAGTGAGCGTTGCCAGTGTGCGTTATCACTTTCGCCAACGAAAGTGAACGTTCCAGAGAGACTTCATTCCTGATGAGCTGCGCGTTGTCACTTTCGAGCGTTCCAGAGGCACTTGTATCAGGACAGCTTGCGCGTGGTTACTATTACTCACGAAAGTAATCACGCACAGCCCTTGACCTCCTGCGTTGCCACTCTTATGAATTAAAGTGAATGTTCCAGAGAAGCCTTCAACTCTGCAAGTTGCGCGTGGTTACTCTTGCTCTTGAAAGTGAACACGCGCACTACATAAAGCTTCTGCGTGGTTACTTTTGTGAAGAAAAGTGACAACGCGCAAAACTGGGGTTTCTATAAATACATGATTGAAGCGCGAAACTAGGGGTCTTTTGCTCATTTTCTGTTTTGTTAGTTAGATTCTCGTTGAGAGAGTGGAGAGAAGATTGGGGTCGAAGCTTGAAGCTCCAAGAAGAGGGATCGGATTGGAGCTCGTGGCCATGGCTGCTCTGCATTCTTCTTCATCTTCTTCTTCTTCTTCTTTCTCTGTTTTTGTTGCAATGTGTGCTTAATTTCCCATAGTTAGGGGTTTATGGAACTCGAATTGATGTATTGATTCGACTTTATTTTCTGAACTTTAAGTTCTTGGAATAATTGAGTTGTTAATTCTGCTTTTCATGCAATCTTTGAATGGAAATTCATTTGATTAATCAAGAGGAATCTTTACCAATGGGAATTGGATTGTTTGCTCCGATCTGAATTAGCAACCAGAGTTTAGCGATTTCTTAGGGATAAGGAGACCTAATTCTGCAATCTTATAGTTCTAATTCTTAATGCAACCTGAAATTGAATCTCACCTAAGGGATTAGGGAGGTTTAGTGGATTGTTAGGGTCAATGAGTTAAGGAATTAACCTTTGGCTAGGTATATGTGAAACTGATTGTCAATTATTCAATTGCTTGAATGTTCAGAGGATTTAATTGGATTGATATTGATATTCTTGTGAAGTAAATTCCTAACTATCCTTCATTGTTATTTCATTTCATCACAAATCTTATACTCTGTTTTTCTGCAAGTTCTTTACTTTTGATTGCTCTAATTATTACTTTTATATGATACAACTCTCTTCCTAAATTCGTATGGCTCAAATGGTTATTTTTCTGTGAAGTGATAAGTGAGTTCCTAATTCCCTGTGGAGACGATACTCGGATCTTAAATTTACTCATTACTTGCTATAATCCTAGTGCACTTGCTAGTGTTTAGATTGCAAATAACACTAGTTAGTGTCTCTTAGCTTTGTGACAGAAATATTTAGCACATTTCCTACCCTCTATCCTAGCCATATTGCAATATTTAGCAAAATAAACAAAAATCAAAATACAATGAGATGGGGTCCTTACCTCAAATTGAAGACCCACACACGAACTTAACTAAGGAGACGCTCCCCACACAAATTTTGTCCTAAATACATGGAAGAATCCCATGAGAACTAAGGAAAATTGAGAAAACAACGAATGGGGATAAGAAATCAAAACCTTAACCATGGAAACTCATCTTCAAAGCTCCAAACGTGTTCCAACCTTCAATCTTGTACCTAAAAGGCTTTGGAAGCAGTTTAATCGATAAGAAAGGCTTGTGAATCGGGAGAAATGAGAGAGAGCTCGAAAGGAGAAGTGGGAAAAATGATTTTTCCCAAACCCTAACCCCCTCAAATACCTCTGTGGTCGCGACACTCTTGCTACAGCGAGGCCCTTACGCTACAGCGAAAATCTCAGACGAAACTGTACTCTGGTTTCTGCAGAATCTCGCTACAGCGAGACTGCACCCAAAAATGCATCCCAAATTGTTGCTCGCTCGCTGCAGCGAGCGGGCGACAGTTTCACGCCTTTCTTCCAGGGCCTTCTCGCTACAGCGAGAATACCCTGCTCCAGACACTTAGCCAAATTTTCATTAATCAAACCAGCCACAGCTCAATATTCTCAGCGCACACACACACACACACACACATATATATAATAGTAATCAATATTACAAAAATTTGGGGCATTACATAATCTCTTTAATCTGGTCTGGAAGTGAGCTGGTCTCCCCAAAAAAAATTTTCTGTGAAAATTGTACATGGTAGACTCCTTACTAATACTGAGAGATATAATCGTGGTATGACTGATTCTTCTGATTGTTCCAGGTGCCAGGAGGGGGCTGAGACTGTTATGCATGTCCTTAGGGATTGTTGGGCTGCTAGGGAGATTTGGCAGTAGCTTGTCCTTCTTGATTGTTAGGTGTCTTTCTTCAACAATGGCCTGAACAATTGGCTTGAGATTAACTTGTCTATTAATACTTTTTCCTTGTATCCATGTTGGAATTTATTATTTAGCATTACTATTTGGAATTTGTGGACTAACTGAAACAAAGAGCTCTTTTAGAATCCAGTTAACTGAAACAAAGAGCTCTTTTAGAATCCAGTTGTAAATTCTGAGTCTCTTCTTCATAAGATTAAAGCTGATTTTGATTTATTTATTTTTTCTTTTGTATGGCAGGTCTACCTTGAATACTGGAAACAAATGTTTGGGAGTTGATTGCCTTACCAAATGGCAGCCCCCTCCAAATTTGTAGTTGAAGATGAATGTTGATAGTGCATCTTTCAGGTTGATGGGTCTGCTAGCTATAGAAGTCTCCTCAGGGATAGCCTTGGAAGATTCATTGTGGGATTTTTCAGAATTTTGGAGCTATGCTCCCCCTTAGCTGCTGAGCTTTGGGCTATCTATTGAGGACCACAGATGATCATAACGAAGAAGATTAATCTTGTCTGGATTGAATGTGATTCAAAGGAGGTGATCTCTTTAATTGTTAATATCCAGCCTTGTAATCACCCACTGTTTCCTATTGTTAGTGACATTAGAAATCTCCTAAAAGGAGTTGGTTTAATCATGTTTTGAGGCAAGCCAATTAGGGTGCTGATTGTTTGGCTAAGATTAAGTCTAAGTATGGGGCTCCTTTTCTCTTTTTTGATAAGGCTCCTCCGTAAGTTGAGCCTTATTTAAGACTTGATTCCCTTGGAATTAGGTATCCTATGATCTTTGTTTAGGTCTTTTTTTTTCTGAGCTTTAAGCCTCGTTTATTGCCAAAAAAAAAGTTTAATACTTTTAAATTTTTTTTCAAAATCATTCAATTATAAACGAAGAAAGTTGAGATTTCTAATTAAAAAATCAAGTCTTTTAGTAAACTCACAATTCATTAAGACAAGAATAAAAATAAAAGTAATTATATGTAAAAAAACAAATTAACACAGATATAAATATAGCGATTTATGATATAATATTCTTAAAATTAATATTTATTTAAACGTTAAAAATTATATTTTAAATTAAAAATAATTAATTATTAACTTTTTATTTTTGCTAACATAAGAAATATATCAAATATTATACTACAAACAATAACATCCCACAAAAAATACACTTGAAAGATAAGATTCAAAAATGAATAATTAAAGTGAAAATTAATCGCAAGAAGCAACATTGGTATTAAAATACTTATTTTGCGGTTAATATTAACGAGTTGCTCCAAATGAATAATTAAAGTGAAAATTAATTGCAAAAAGCAACATTTGTATTAAAATACTTATTTTGCGGTTAATATTAACGAGTTGCTCCAAATGACCTATTCTTTTAAGAAGAAAATAATTTTCAATAAAAATATACTATATAATCACAATAAATAAAAGTCAAAGGCAATCATTAAAAGAATAAAAGTCTTTATAGTTGAGAATATGTAGAATATTAAAAAAGTATTTATAATAAAGTATTTTATTATCTTCTTTAATGTAATTATATTTAATATTATTTGATATAATAAAATTATAATTAGAAGAAAATTATAATTAAACTAAACCCTCCAAAACCTTTTGAATATTAGTTTTTTGAGTTTCTCATTTGAAAGATTCTCTCTCTCCGACTCTCTTATACTCTTTCATTAACAGGATTCTAATTTTTTTTTAAAAAAATTGTAGTGTTTCAAGTGATGATTTTTAAAAAAAAAATTATAAAAAATAAAAATATTAATTTTAAAAACATTAATTTTAAAATTATTAATTTTTGAAGAAAAAAATATATATTTTTTATTTTCTATAAAAATAAAAAATAAAAAATATAATAATATCATTTGTATAATTAAACACTTTATCACCTTCTTCTCTCAATATTAAACATCCAAACAAGAAAAGAATTTAACCCTCGTTTCCCTTTTTCCTTCAAACCTTTTCCCTCCAAACTCTCAAACAAAGCTTTATTACAATTGCAATTGTGAACTGCAATTTAAAACATATTAAAACAAACTTATAAGAATCATAAGCTCCTTGAGGATGAAAACGATATGTTCTTAATTGGGAAGCTGTTGAACAATATTACTCTTCTTGACTGTCACAAAATGTACAAAATGTTTTATACTAAATTGAGTAAACAAATATTTATGTAATCCTGCTCAAAGATTAATGATACATCGTTTACACACCAATTTCCCAATATCAAATGCCTTCAACATATCCATGCGGCATTGTAGCCTAAAATGATAAGCCCCTATATAAATGCACCATATATGCCAGACTTTACCTTGTACATTTTAAGCGTTAGAAATAAATGCTGTAGTAGATACAGGATTACAATAGTTAACCGAGTCAAAGTAAAATATTAGATGCAATTATATGATGGATTTTTAGTAACGTGAAATGTGACAACAGTTGCTTTCCATGTTTTACAGGCGGTAAATTACTATTTATTTACAACTGCATTCACGCAGCGCAAGGAGCATAATTTTTGGCTACACAATAAGGAAGTTGGATTACAGAATCAAGTCCAATAATTAAGATTAAACCAGAATCTGTATCTAGACTGAGAAACATGGAAAGACTGAAAAATGAAACATCAATCACAGTTTTGAGCAGGGACAATAAGGAAAATTTTGCCCACATGTCATGGCAAGTACTCATACAACAAAATTTACAAGAGTCATCGAAGATGCTGTGATATCTATGGTGGTCATCTGTCCAGCAAAGTAAATATGTCAAGCTAGACTGAGGCCAAGATCCAAAACATCACATGTGATGACATTGCTGTAAGAACCCAGGTGATAAAAGCCATGGCTACAGAAATCTGGTACCTGTTGCAAGTTAGACTCTTACGAGTCGAGCATAAATCCAGGTCTCTTGCATATAATACTACAATTCCTGCTGATGAGCATGCAGCTGCCAGTGACAAAGTAGCTGTTACCTGCATTTCATAAATCACTAAGATCTCACATGCTAATGACCTCAATTTTCATCAGAACATTAAAATAGTAATGGCAAAGAAGCATGGGTTTGATTCCAATCCCATCAACCATGGGCTTAACTGAAGCTCAGATTTATCAACAATTCACTAATCTTTTAAGTTTCACCAAGAACAAGCACCAACAATAATATAACCAAATAAAAACACACTATCCTCCATTAGTACAAGGATAATGAAGCAGCAAATGAAGTTCACTTTTAATTTTTGACCATTCCATTACACGCAAATAATGTTTTAATACACTTTTAAGTTTAATTAGTTACTGTTCAGAAAATAAAAGCCCTCAAATTGAAGACAGAGACATCCAAATGCTTCAGAGGTTGCTGTAATATAATTATTTGACTCCAGCAAATAATTTTGTATCTGTTTCAAGTATTTAGCAATTACCAAACATAAATTACTTGCAAATTGAATTGGTTTTCAGTTAAGTAATGCTTATGTTGAAGCCTATTTTTCTCCTCTGAACTTATAAAATTTAATTAATTTTTCCACATGAAAATAGGAACAAGATAAGTCGCCTGATTATTACCCAATCACCTACAACAAATAGGCTAACAAGAATTGGATTTTGTAGGTCTCTCTTTCTCCTCAAGGCATAAATATCAAGACATGCAAGTCCAAAGCTCCAGAGCACTTGAAGTCCCATTGATGCAATTAAATAGCTGAAAGTTCAGAAAAGTAAGAGTGTTATGCTCCAAAGAAAATACGAAAATCTGTTTAAGTCAGTAAAAAAAAAATATTAACACTAACATTAGATTGTAAACATTTATACATATTTTAACCAGTAGACAATCCTACCTGAGACTTCAGTGCAGTAAACAAATGACTAAAGCACATAAATACAAACCCCATGGCAGACATAGAAAGAGAAAAGCATTATCAACTTACATGACAAACTATTCCTCTTGCTAATTTAAGCAAACCACTCTCACAGGAACCAAAAACCAATTCCTTACATTCCCATTACTCCAGAACCCTAGAATTTCTAAATCATTCCTCAATTTAAAATATAATCAACTAGAAAATAAAATAACAAAATTATATCACCATAACATTAGGATTTGGAACAAAAGAATGCAACCAATTCCAAATGCAAATAAGAATTTGGACAATTTCTCGAAGTGTAGACATATATTTGGGGAGAATACTATAGTAATTGACATGAAAAAAGTACACTGCATATAATCACAATAGATGTCAATGCAGGTAGCTCCCAGCCTACCACAGCTCTGGAAGAAAGGGGCCTTAGGATACCTAACAGCTAAAATCACAGGGTTAATAGGGCCGGCCATGAGCAAAAGTAGTGGTCCATGATCAGCCAAAACTCATTTGGACACATCCAACTAGAATATACTATAAAAATCTAAAATGCTAAGTTGCTCACAGGCTTAAACAAGTTTCTCAATTAACTATATCCATGATCAAAATCATGCCACTACTAAAAGATGCTGCACATAATTAGTGAAAGCTCTTGTAGGGAAACAGGATATGCCAGATGGCAACTTTTGAAACAGGCAAGAAAACAAAATCAAATATAGTGAAGTTGAAAAAAATCCTGTCCACTTTTAGAGTATATTTGGAATCATTACCATTTTCAGTTCTTGTATTTGAAAATTTAAAAACATGAAATGATTTTATCAGTAGGATTCCATGGATTTCATTCCTTTTAATTTTGGAAATTCTATCAAATTTGGAAAGTTTGATTTCATTTGATATAAATAAACGACGTTGCCCTTATTAACGTTTTAATCTACCTTCCAGAAGGGTAAAAGATGTAAAATAATGAAATGAAATCAAGTTAATTCCATTATTCCAAACATAAGAATTGATCTCCAAATCAATGCAAATCCATTTTCTTCAATGAGTTCCAAAAGTAGGACATGATTTGTAAACAGATACTGAGGGCGTGTTTGGAAGCAAATAAAATGAAAGACTTATTCTCATTTCAAGTAAACATCCTCATAACTCGATAGATTTCCAAAAACGGAGAAATTATCAAGTGACATTTTCCCACAGTCCCTAATTCATTTTTATACCCATTTAACAACATCTCAGTTTAGTAATGAGAAATTAACCCAAAACAAAGAAAACCCCAAAAAACATGCATAGACTTTTATTTTATTTAATTTTCAGTCCAAGGAAAGAGGAAAAGAGTAAATTACCAGAAAGCGGTGTAGCTAGAAAAGCCAAAAGCAGTGACCATTAGCGCAATTGAAGAGGCACCAAATGCACATTGTCCTAACCTCAACAGGAACCCACTAATCGTTCCTGGCCCACCCAACAACCGTTTCATCATCTTCTTCTTCTTCTTCTTCTTCTTCCTCCTCCTCCTCCTCCTCCTCCTTCCAAAAAAAAAAGAGGGTAAACGAAAACCTAGATTTCAGAATCGTACCATCAGGAGAGGTTCTCTCTTGCCGTTATTCTCTCCATGGGAAAATTTTCACCAAGGAAATGGGAATTTAGAGAGAGAGAAAAGAGAAAAGGGAATCTGAATGGTGGAGCTTGCGGAAGATCACTTTTCTGTAGTAGTAGTAGCCGAGTGAAAATGTTGGGTAAAGTTTGTGACCTAGTGTGAGGATTATGGTTGATGCTCTGCAGTAACACATTTTTTAGCTTTTTACTTTGTGGTGTAAAACTACAAGGAGATACAGCCCAAACAAGGTTTTAATTTTATCAGAGTTGTTACATTTATAATTGGTGTTTTAAAATATTAAAAAAATTAGTCTTTCACAAATTAAGAAAGAAAAAATTTAGTTCTCTCTAAGAAGCAAAATATTAGTTTTGTTTTGTCGTTTCCATATTTATTAGTTAAGTGTTAACTTGCTACTGCATGTCAATTTTTATTTTTATTTTATCATAGTAAGTATTCAAGATTTAAAACATATTTTAAAATAAAAATTTAAATGTTTTTTGTCTTTATAAAATTATTATATTTAGAATTAGTTTATAAGAAAATTATTAGAATTTTACTTCTAACAAATTAAGCAATTAAAAAATTAATTCACATTATTAACTTCTGTCAATTAAATTAACATTGACATATCTCGTGTATTTATCATACTTAATTTGTTAAAAGTTAAATGTATATAATTTTTTTGTATTGATCAATTTTAAATATAACAATTTTTATATGAAATAAAAATTAATTTAAGATTATATTTTTTATTTTGACCACATTTTTTGTAAAATGTAATTTAATTTTAAATAAATATATAATTAAATTATTATTATTATTATTATTCATATATAAAATGTTAATTTTAAATTTTATTTTTAAAAGGTGATTATATATAACTTACATTATTTGACAATAGAAAAAAATCATTAAAAAATAATAATAGTATACTTTAGGATAGGAATAAAAATAAAATTTAGGAAAAATTAGTTTTTTCATCCATTAACTTTAAAGTAAAATTTAATTTAATTTTTTAATTTTTTTATTCAATTTAGTTCTCAAAGTTTTATTTTTTTATCTCAAGTTAGTCATTTTCGATAATTGTGTTACATGGCCTAACTGAGATGTTTTAGGTAGCGTTGAGATAACCTAACATTATTTATTTAATACAACCTAAATTTTTTATTAAAAATAATGAGATTTGTTCAGGTGGCGCTAACTCTCCACTGCCTCTTCCCCTCTCCTTTTTCCTTGGCTCCTCCTTCTTCCTCGCGTTACTAAAGCTCTCCCACCCTTTTTCCCCCAAACCCGCTAGTCTTGTCTCCTCCTCCCACAACCTTCATTTTCCTTTCTAGAAGCCTCCTCCCCTCCCCTTCCTCTTTTTGTAGCTCCTTCACCTTTTCCCCCTAACCAACCAGCTCACAGTCCTTATTTTCTCTTCTCGCAACCTCTTTTCTCCTTTTCACAGCTTCCCCTCTCCCCTCCCACAACCTCTCCCCTCCCTCTCTTGTTTTTCAACTCTTCCAAGCCCTCCTCCTTCACTTTGGTTCTTTTTCTCTCATAAGTTTTGATATTTCAAATCTTTCAAGCCCTTCAATTCTCTTTCTCATATGTACTTATCCTAAGTCTATACCTCATGGGATAGAAATTAAAAACTTGAATTAAATGATTGATAATTGGACATGGGTTGGTACTTTGCTAATTTATTATGTAAAACAAATTTTGTGAAAGGAGAGAGAATGAGGGATGTAACATCCTTACTATAATTTACAAGTCCTGGTTGATTTTACAAAATTATGTAGATATATGAATATAACTGATAAAAGTCAGCCAATTCAATTAAAAACTTTGTCTGTACAAAATTTTCTTAAATAAATAAAATAACGTATATACTGAGCTCGTGATACAAACAAGATATTTTTCAGTAAAATAAATTTGTAGCTAACAGTGGTACAAATTAAAATTTAAATAATTAGCTATTAATTATTACACTTAACTCTTGAGTCATCATTTATAATAGGTTAATCAAAATACTTCAAAATTCTAATTGGAACTTAACTAATATAAAATAATCAGTTCTAACAGAGTAATTTCTTTCCTATCATCCCTTGCAAGTATGGGTGAGCATCCCTCGCTCCACTAAAATTCTTAATTTAAGAATAATAAAAATTGTCACGTTCCTTTTTTGTAGAAGATCAATGACATCCTGCATTATCATTCCTATTTTAATTATTTATGAGATAATACATGTATAGAGTAGGGTATTTTCATACAATACCAAAAATTACATGAGTATATATATATATATAATCATATAAATGTGTCTGTGTGTGTGTAACAGTTGCTCTACGCGAAGCTCAAAATACAAGTTTTCGAATACTAATTACACTCATTGAAATTGTAGCCAAACAGTCTAGACCTAACACTAAAACCTAGACTAGCAAAATAATTAAAGCTACAATTCTTCAAAATATGTCGATTCTGACGTCCCTCAGCTAGGCCTTCCAGTTTGAGAAGTAGAGGCATTACTTATAATATTTGTTCACGTGTACCACAGTATGATCATTGCAAGAAGCACACATACCAACATAGATAGAATTGCAAGGGTGAACTTACGAAATGATAATCATGGTTATAGAAAAAAAATGTAAATCATACAGCTCATTATCTCTACATTTTAACACACAATACAACAATGCAGTCCATCTAATGCAAGATGCAACAACTCAGTTCCAATTGGGTTCACAACACTAATAATTTAGAAAGAACCTACAATTGTCCAATCTAGAAGCGACCCATCCTGGTACCTAAATCTAGATATAGCATAGTATAGCTTAGCATGTTATCTAATCAATATATGCCTATCCTACCTAAATATGTAGCTAGGCTCTAGAATGATGAATATCAACATAATAATACAGCTTAGCCACAATTATGTATTTAACAGCTTAACAATGTCTAGCAATGGGCATACATATACAGCGATAACTCAACATTCATAACTTTTATTATAGCATCATATCAGCACTTATTCATTCATTTTGACACACAGGATTCACAGTATGTGTGAAATTTTTCACAGTCTTTACTACATATCTCAGCCTACATGTCCCAGCACAATAATTCAACTTTCACAATCAATCACATAGCTACTGGGTACTCTACCTTAGGGTTTGTCCCTATATTAACTTAATCTCAGCTAAAACAAAATTATACATACAAATATCTCATCATCTAGTGAATAAAAAGGCCTGCTCATGTAAGCTCCCCTTACCTGAAATGAGATTTCTCAAATCGAAGCTTTCATGAGTTCACAAGAGAAATAAGGCTCTAAATCCTCAGATCCTCGTATTATCACAAAACGAAGACTCTTGAGAAGAGAGATCAAGAAAGGAGGGATGAAATAGGGGAACCAAACCCTAAAACACACCTAGATCGGCTCTAGGTAGAAGTTCTCAGTTAGATCTACAAGAAGTTTGGCCTTGAGAGGGTTTTCTTTGAGTGAAGAGGGTGAGAGAACAGAGGGAGGTGAGAGGGGTTAGTGGTTTGATGAGAAAATAAAGTTTTCAACCCAAAGTTCCTTTAAATACCCCTCTACTTGCGATATTTTCGCTATAACGAGATATACCAGATAGTTGAACCCTTATGTTGTCTGTCATTTTCGCTGTAGCAAGAATCTCCTTGCTATAGTGTGACTCTCTCATTACAGCGAGAGAGCTTTAGAATGCCTTGTTCTGGATGATCCATTCTCACTAGATATTTTGTAGCTCAACATCAACTAAAACCCTCCAACTCACACAACATGCATCAAATTTTTACACATAAACCACACAGCTTATATTTACATAATTTCAAGTTATTTCACACCACAACCAACATATAACTTCACATTCAAAGCACAAAGACGTCGCAGTTAAATGAATACTTCATTAGTTCTAAAAGAAAATATGTATACACCAAACACAGGCTGATAAAAATAATGCAAAAACATTTTCTAATACAGCATTTAACAAAATAGCAATACTCCAATTTATTGTATTTTGTAATTATAATTGATTCATACCTATTATTTTTTAATTGTATTTGGCAACACCCTCAAGTTATAATAGTAATACAACATGTAACAAAATAGCAATACTTTAAACCCATGATTATTTATAGAATTAGTTAAATACAACTTGTAGTAAGAGCTCTAAATAGAACCATTTTGATAAATATGATGATTCTTCTAGTAAACATTTGTTAAGTGCCACATTTTAGTATCTGTCAGTATATATTTTGACACTTATTTAATTCCTTTTTACATAGTTTGTACTTAAATTCTATGCAATTTATATTTTAATGCATTTAAGTTCATATCATTTAAATTCAGCAACTTTAACCTTAATTTTGTCAAATAAAAGAAGATATTTGAGTCACTTCTCTTATGTGAATTTTCTTAAGGACAAAGGCTTGATGAGGTGTCCACATTTATAGCTTCATTGTGTCTTTAAAACTCCCTTCATATGCCTTATTTTGAGAGTTTTTACAATTTCTCATTGATAGAAATGACTTGGGCTTGTTTTGAATGAATGTTATAATTTTGTATTTTCAGCAATCTGACCTCTATCAACTCTTTTGGCCATAAATTTTTCTACAGATATTATTTTTTATTGATTCTAATTGCATTGGATTCTACACATCTGGGACTTCAAAATGCATATATGGTTTGCTGGATTTGGAATTGTTTTCTATTTTTATGATTTTTTGAAGATGAGTCAGATTTACTGAAGTCGTCCAAAATTTTAAGCTCGCTCATGCGAGAATTACCTTGCTTGTGCCAAAAATGCAGAAATCAGAGCAGATTTTTTTGTTGGTTTTCTCACTTGAGCAAGAATGGACCTTTCTAAGTGAGAATTGGCTCACTTGAGCGAGAAATCTTACAACAAACTTTGTTCTCAAGTTGGTTTTCGCTTGAGCGAGACATGGCTCGCTTAAGCGAAGATTTTTTTGCTGGTTTTCTCACTTGAGCAACAATGGACATCTCCTAAGTGAGAATTGGCTCACTTGAGCGAGACTTTGAGCGAGAAATCTTACAACAAACTTTGTTCTCAAGCTGGTTTTCGCTTGAGCGAGAATTCACTTATTGCCCTACAAAATTATAAGATTTAGCTAAAAAAATGGAGAGCCAGGAGCGAGCTTTGAAGCCTTAACACATCATTGATCTAAATTTTGGAGTGCAGAGCAAGAGAAGAAGCGTGGGGAAGCAACTACATAATTGGGGAACTAATTTTTATTTCTTTCCCATGTATTTCTTTATTGTTTTGTATGTCATAGATGACTAGAACTCTAGGAATTGGATGTAATCTTCATACTCTTAATATTTTGATATTTTTTAATATATATTTGTTCATGTGCCATGAGTTAGGTGTGTTTATCTTGAATGTAATGCTTGTTTCTACCTTACGGGGAATGATTCATGATCCAAGAATAGATTTTAATCTATTATATATTATATAACTCTTGCTATTAGTGCTGGATTATTTGTTGATTAGGTAAGAAATTATTACTCAATAAATATATCTTAGAATCTCGGGTGAGAGGAATCCAACGAGTAAATATAATGAGAGTGCATCATAGAACTTTGATAATTGTTAATATGCGTTAGAACCAAAATATGAGGAGGATGATAGATGAAGTTCAATTTCCAATCTTATCATAATAGTTTAATTTGTTTTTATTTGCATTTATGTTCTATTTACCAAACTATCAAAAAACCCAAAATATCACTTAGTAGTACATTTATGAATATTTGGGAATTTGTTGATTTTAAATTGGATAGCTAAATTCACTTAAGTTTCCACATTCCCTGTGGATACAATCACCTTTTATAATACATCAAAAACTTGGTACACTTGCCAAAATCCCTCAACAACATTGTTCAAAGGTAGTTAAAATTGCTTGTTAATATGGTACTAATTGATGAAAAAGTATTAGTATTTGTATTTTTCTTATAAAAAATTTATTACTTGTAATAAATTATAATTATGTTGTCTTTTATATATAGTTTTATACTAACTAGCTTGATTTATTTTTAAATTTTTTAATTGATTAAAATTTTCTTTTTATAGAGAAATTACATACATGCTTCAGTAGGACAGAGTATTACTTACATGTTCAAGGGTATTAAAGGAAAGAAAAATATATTCTATAAAAAATATTTTGATGACAAAGAACAAAGATAGATTTGTTGTGGTTGAAAACAAACCTTTCATATTGCAATTTTATGCCACAACTATTATTAAGGAATTAAACTATGATGATAACATAATTCCTTGTCATATATTTGAGTTTGTATAATTAAACTATAATGATAACATAATTCCTTCACCAATGACTCTCCGAATATTCACCTCGAGGTAAGGAAAGCTCTATTTTGTCATTTTATTAAAATATTTATTTTGTGCTCATTTGAGCACTATTATATAAGGATTTTGTGAAAGTATGTGTTTGAAGGATAATATTTGTGAGTAATAGCTGAGAATATGCATGTTTGGTTGTTTGGGTTGAATGGTTATGTTGTGTTCACATGAAATATATGATGAGTACTCAATGTGGAGTGTTATGGAAACATGTTGAGTGATTATGGTGTGATTATATGAAATATGTCTATATGAGCATTCTGTGGCTATGACAAATTGTGATGCTGGTTTGAATGACTTAATTAATTGAAACTATATTCTAATGGTATGAGTGATGTGGACTTAGTTCAAAAATGTTTTATTAAGCACGATCTTCTGAGTGGAGAACAAAAGGATTCTCGAAATAAGTATAAGTATCGAATATGGAATGGATATAGTGTGAATAGTTACAGAAACACACTAAAGGTATAAATTCTGGAGATAATGAAAAATCCGGGAGAAATGTAGGGTGGTCAGTGATATTCGCGTATATGCACACACTTTTTAAGAGTAAATGCGTCACATGACTTCACACTTGTTTCTTGACTAGACTTTTAACTATACCTTTGCTAAGGGGTCTATTATTGTATACGTTGTATCCATGTGTACAGACTAACTAACGACTATTTACTTAGTTGAGTAAGACCTTAAGAAATATTAGAGGCATCATTTCTGTAATCACAGTGCACAGGAAGTGCGTGTTTGAAGAAGAGAGATTAGATGAGTTATGACAAACCTGTGTGTCGTGATTATATAATCATGATTGTTCTGTAAATTGGTTGTTGAAATGATTGCATTTTTTTATATCATAATTATGATTTCATGTGATATGATGATTTGTAAAATGTTAGAATATATGCTTATACTTATTAAAAATTTTTAGAAACTAGGATAATGACACCATAGAAAAGAATTAGGCTGATAGGTAGCTCTGTACAGTGTAGACTTTATGTTTTTAATGAGTACCAGAGAACATATTATTTTAAGTTGGCTATACAGGTTGATGATACACCTAGTTATATTATTATTTTGGAGATGGAATTTTATTATAATGTTCCTGTCGATTTTTCTATAAATAATAGAATTTACCATACCTTATGTATGTATATCTATAAAAGTACAGTTATGACCCAATAGCCATAACCTATTTGTGTACATACCATGATCATGACCATCTCAGAAGGTCAACCCGAGTTGCCTTTGAATAAGTAATGGGAGTTGAAGTTGCGATCAGTTCGAGAGACATTTATCTTAGATTAGATGATGACCTCGATTCCAAGGATTTAGCAAAGATAGAAAAATGGCGTGGCAATGACTAACACCAAGTCCTCAATGTTTGGATATGTTTTAGGATTGCTTTGAAACTTTGTTTATTTTAGTTGTATAATTATTATCTTAGGTGTCACCGTACATTTTGATAAACGGGTTATAAATTATTAAACTTATTATCTGTAAATGCACGTTCAATTCCCATATTTGTAAATTTCATCTCATTTACTATGATCTTTAAATTTACTGATTATTTACTTAATATCGTCCTGTTGACAAAATTATAAATAATTTAATTAATAAAAAGATTATAATTTAGTCATGCTTTACAACACTAGTCATATACGAAAATTTGAAATTTTATTCTGACTCAATTTAAATAAATTGTGTAATTCAAGAATTAAAATTTGGGGACGTTACGTATTACTCCATGTAGCCCTGCATGAATCACATAATTCTTTTTTTTTTTTCAGAATTTTGACATTAAATTAACATACTACATATCCAATAAAAACTTAAAGTAAGCATGTAATGAGCAGCCGTGACCATATTTCTACTTTTTCCATTTACCATCAAAGATATAGCCACAAAATTGAGTGGACCTTAAGTTCGACCAGATCGAATATTTTTATCCCTTCATTAGCAATATTGTATTTCTCTTAACCAAAAACTAAATTGACAACTCTTCCACGGCAAGATACAAATTCCTTTAGTACTAATGAAACATTCAAGGCTAAACTAACAAAAACAGGCAAGTTAGTGTAATTGCAACCATTTCCATGAACAATGAATGCTCTTGTGATTTAAAATTTTCAAACCAACAGATCCAAGAAGACAACCAAGGAAGCATTTTTACATCAAGTAGGCCATCTACATGTATCAACATACCATTATGTTCTATCAAAAATCAGTTCCTTAGAGACATCATTTTGATCTAAATCCCTTTAACAGTTTCATCACTTGGTGAGTTTTCCTTAGTCGTGTTGTGCTTGAATTATTAGCCTATCCTCCATTTAAACAACTCTTCTAGGTTCTAGGATAACTAATGCTTCAGCAAGTATTCTTTTCACATGTTCAAACAATCTTAAACATACTTTAACCAAAATTTTCTCAATAGTTGCCACTCCTAGATAAGATTTCTTAGTGTGGTGACCTAAAACTTAGATTTATAAACTGTCACTGAAATTTAGCATTTTTATTTAAAAAAATAGATGCAAAAACAACATTATATTTCAACCTTAAACATTAACATGAATCAAGTTTAATTGGGGTGCAAGCTTCAACTGTCTTCAAATCAAGAATGCTAAACAATTAGCGAGAGAATACTTATAAATAAATCGGTGGCAAAGGATAGGACCATAGGCATAGAAGTTTTGGCATTCCCAGACAGTTCCATTGCTCATGTTCTACAACTCAATTTCTTACCCAAATAGTATACAGATAATTTCTTAATTATGGATTAAAATCATAATAATTTAGCAGAATTTTGTGTGGGAGTGAAGGAGTCCAAAAATACACCAGTAACCTGATACTAAAATCTACTTGAGAGCAAATTAACAGTTTGAGCAGAACGGGTCAGGAGAATGTATGTGACTTCCTCCTTATTATATTCAATGTGACATGAGTACATTTTCATTTACTACAAATTTGGGGTAAATATGAAGGTTTTATAAGCAAAATCTCCAACCAAAATACCCTACAACAAGAACAAATTTCCCATAAGATGCAAGGCATCATCACAGTGAAAAGAAGTAGAATATATAAATATTTTACAATATTAAAGTGACAATCAAGGAAATTTAAAAGTGAATTTCATACCATATCATTGATAATCAGTGAAACTCATTGGGGTTTTCTTTACTTTGGATGAGAGGAACACCATCTTCCCTCCAAACTACACGCTCTTCACATAAAGCCTCTACCACCTCGACATACAACTGATGCTCCTAAATTTGGAAATAAAACAAACAGTAATGACTTGGTGTCCACCTTGTAAATCTGCTAAGTTACTAGCTTTTTGACTGCATAATTGCAAGATTCATGAATGCTTCTCAATTCTTATCACAAATGTTTTCATTGAATTTATTCAAGATGAAAGCTATTCAATAGTTTAAAATTAACCATTTTGGGGAGCTGATTAATGATATAGATGTCATTAGGCAATTATAATTCTGAATTAGGAAATTATTAAGCAGATATGGGTCAAAATGTGACAGTTATAGCAATATAAGCGATGTTACAGTAATAAAAGAGAATGAAGGCATCAGATTATTATTCCTTTTGTTTTGAAGAAGATAACTCCTTTGTTAGAGAGAAATCTTGTGTTAGGGGTAGTTTTTAATTGTATGTTTGAGAGAGAAAAACTTTAATAGAGCTCAACCTTGTGAATTCTATTATAGAACCCTAATTCTGATTTCATCCAGAATTTCTATCAATAAAATTGTCTTATTTGTATGCGCAAACTCTTGGGTCTAACAACTACCTCCTTGAGAACCCTTGCAGCCAACTCCTCAGCAGTATCATCAGCAAGCACAGGGACAACACGCTGGGCAAGAATATGTCCTGTGTCATAGTGTTCATCAACAAAATGAATTGTAGGACCTGAAAATCTAACCAACATAGAAAAATGAAGAACAGATAAGTAGTCGAGAAGCAAGTAAAAGAGTGTATCACTGAGAAAACATGTTGGAGATATTTCACGAAGAGTATACCTCACTCCAGAAGCAATTACAGCTTTATGCACCTTCATGCCATAATAGCCCTTGCCTCCAAAAGCTGGAAGAAGTGATGGATGAATGTTGAATATAGATCTTTCATAAGCTCTGATCAATTCCACAGGTATAAGCTTGAGGAATCCAGCTAAAAGAATAAAATCAACCTCAAACTTCCTGATTTAAAATGTATCATATGTTAGTAATATAACCACGTCTCCTTCCAGCAATCAATAGTATTTGTCTCCTTTAAAGATTTTCCCATATTTGTGCTTCAGCGGTTTTTTATTTGCATTTTAACTTTAAGCAAAGAACCCACTTGTTAGGGCTACGGGTGAGGATATGGACTCAAATGGGACCAAGCCCACACTATGAAGGGTTTACACTAGAAGAAAAAAAAAAGTGTATAGGCAAGGAGGGTGATGTGGCGCAGAGAGACGTACATAGTTAGCTAGGGAAGGAGTCCATAGTGGGGTGGGTGTGTGAGAAAGGGTATCTTTTGGAAATCAAGTTGTTATGGAGGGAAGGCACTAGCTCTCTGTAGGAGCCTAGCTCTGGACAGTAGTACTCATTCTACTGATTTTTTCCTTTTATATCAAGTAATATCAGCTTCTTTTCCTCTTTTCCTTTTAAATTCCTTGTTTATCTTTACCAGTCCTTGTTAGTAATGTAACCACGTCTCCATCCAGCAATCAACAGTATTTTTCTCCCTTACAGATTTTGCCATATTTGCGCTTCAGTGGTTTTTTATTTGCATATTAACTTTAAGCAAAGAACCCACACATCAGATTTATTTAAAGAATAAACTCTAAAGTCTAAAGTTGAATACAATAGCAGGAAATTAAGGAAAGAAGCATCTGACCTTAGTGTATCAACAAGGTCATTTGGAGATAATCCATTGGGTTCATCCTTTGCTTTAGGGAACAAAATAATTGGGATACCATTATTTCTTGCATACTCTGCACCTCCACACTCTGGTATTAAAATTAAAAACAAAAGAAAAAGAAAAAAAGAGAAAGGAGGAATTTTTAGTAGACCTACGATCAAAATAAAATGTAAATTAAAACATGGTCCCATCATCCCATGTCACACAGGTCTAGCAGCATCAGTACACATGGTAATTTCCTTTTTCTAGACAAAAATAATAAACATGATCTTAATCCAATGACTATTATCAACTAAACTTAAAGGCAAAATATGCTTCAGAAAAGCACTAGACTACTAAAGGCCATGCAAGAATTTCAGCTAAGCTAAATGATAACAATACCATTAAAATAAATATAAGATATATTTTGCAGATGAGTAAAGGGGTGGTAATACGGTAGACCATTACCACTTTTATTCGTGACCAATACAAGAACATCTCCATGAAGTGATCCCCTTTTGGAGGCCTCATGAATTGATCTGAAGTTGGATCCTCCACCTGACACAAAAACTGCTAGTTTTTTCCTTCTCACTGTGATGTGAGCCCTGACCTCATGGCCCTCCATTGGTTCTGTAGTACTACTCCTGCTACAACATATTGTCCTCCAAGAACTAGAACACCCTTCTTTATGCACAATGCTGATAGGAGAAAAAGTTCCACTAGGAACCTCAAGATTCTGGGACTGAATAGAAGGGTATAAAAATGAAGGTAAAGAAGAGAACTTCAAAGAGAATGGCTGTTTCACAATTGGACTTGATGGCACTATCGATGATTTCAGACAAAACCCAGAAAGAATTTGTTGGGATTCCATGGATATGTTAATTTAAATAAAAAAACACAAATTTAATTTACTACAATATACTGTGTTAATGGCAAGGATGAAAATGTCGAGATTGTAGGAAGAGTTCTAGTTCTAGCTGCATAAGAGATAGGGCGGTGATGGTGCCAATAACAGTGAAGTTAATTGAAGGGCCCAAAGGAACAACATAACTATGCTCCGGGTTCTAGTTCTAGCTGCATATGAAAGCGAATAAAAATGTCATAAATTTATCATATAGAAACACACAACTACAAAAGTGTTACAACAACTAGACCCAAACAAAGAATTCTTCTTAGGCTTCAAAACCTCTCAAACACATGCGCGTATATTCAAACATGCTTAAAAACATGTAGCATAGTAAATAAGGAACAAAAAATTAAAGCCATCAGGCATCAGATTGGCAAAGAAAAGAAAGAAACCAACAAAAAGTAAAATTCAATCAAATGCGCAATGAAAACTCTTTCAGATATATTTTTGCTAGAATTAGCGAAAGACTGCCTCTAACGAATGGGTAAGGTAGAATCCACTTAAGTTCAAAACATCCAGACACACAATAAAGAATGATGCATCACTAATCAGGTTGGCACTTGCTCTGAACCACGCTCAGCATTTGACAGCAAAGTTTGTTATAATAATAATAATAATAATAATAAACGCATTTTAAAATATAAAGGAAACAAGAAATAAAATAAATTAAACTTAAAAAAAAAATACCAAATGGGCGTCTGGTTTCTGAAGGAAGAGGCAGCGAGCACACAGTAGCGCCGCAGTAGCTGGCAGTCACAAAACTGTTTTCCATGGGAAATTATTAGTGAGACCCATTTAAAAGAGAGAAAGTGAGAAACTCAGAAATCAGAATATAGGAATAGCCTCTTTTTGAATTTATTCACTCTCTCTAAAACGACCTAGTTTTGTTGCTGGAAGGGGTAAAAAAAACATTGTAAAGCGGCCATAAACGTGTTTGTGAATCAATTCAATCTTTTGCATGCCGTATAAATTAAAATAATTAATTAATTAATAATAATAATAAATTGAAAATCATAAAAATATTGTTTTTAAGTGAATGCTTAAAATGCTCTTTAAAATATTTTAATAGACCATATTTAAACTTTTAAAAACTTATTTTCGATACTTTTTTTTAATAAAATTTTAAAATTATTTTTTAGGCTTTTAAAGATCAAAATTAAATAAAGAAAGTATTAAAAAAATTAGTGTTTCAGAATTAATAAATTTTTTTAAAATGTTTTATTATTATTGTTTAGTCTTTTTAAATTCATCATTAGATAAAGAAAGTATTTTAAAAAAACATTTTTCATATTTATTATTAAGAAAAAGATTCAAAACAATATTTTAGAATTAGTTTTTTGTCATTTTAAATTTAAAATTAGACAAAGAAAGTATTTTTATAAAAGAATATTTTGGTGTTTTAAACTTTAAAAAAAATTAATATAAAATATTTTAGACTTGATGCCTCAAGTTCTCATTCTTACGTATTGCTTGAGTGCAATAAAAAAATTAAAGTCATATAATTATTTTAAAAAATTAAGTTTTGATAAATTTTAAAGTTAATTTTTTTATCACTCTCAGAAATATTAACTTTGATATTTTTAATTGTTTGATTCTTAAATATATTCATATTAGAGAGTGTGCAAAGGATTATTTTTCACTTATAAAAGATTTTTTATTTTGAAAATATTAACTTTATTTTAAAAATATCTTTTTTAATCTTTTATTTTAAATTTAGAAAAATATATATTTTTTAAAAAGAATATCTAGTTTGAACGGTGAAAGAAATATTTTAAATTTTAAAAAGATTAAATTTAAATTATCAAATAATTATTTTAAAAAATCACTTTTTTTTTTATTTTAAGAATAAAATCACTCTTGCACAAGTTTAAGTTAACACATGACTGATGACTATTCAATAAATTCTTAAAATTTAAATGACATTATAAATAGATCTACCACTTTATGTGAATTTGAAAAGATTATCTTTGAAATAAATGTATATTTTTAAATTTTTAATTTTTTTTTATTTTCTATGTATAATAAAAAATGTTTATTAAAAAAATATTTACAAGGTAACCTACATGATAATAGCAACAATAACATAGCAATAATAATAATAATAATAATATAAATGCACACAACTTTATAATTTATTACAAGATTTTATTCTCTTTTATTGGCTCACAAAGATTAAAAAAATAAATAGAAAAAATTATTATTATTCAAAAAATATTTATGACTTACCACAAAATTTAATTATTATTGTTATTAATTTTTTATTTTAATGATTGACAAGGATAAAAAATAATAGAAAAACAAAATAAAATGAAAGAAAAAAAACACTAAAAATGCATTTTTTTTATTGTTTATGACCTATCACAAGATTTAGTTTTTATTTTATTAGTTAATAAAAACAAAAAAGTAAAATTATATTCCTTGACACACAATTTAATTTTTATTGGTTTATGAACAAGGAAAGAACAATAAAAATAAAGAAAGAAGAAAAAGAATAAATAAGAAAAATAACTATCACAAAAAGGTTAATATTAAAAAAGAGTAATAAGTAAAAATTATCTTAGAATAAAATCATTATTATCATAGAAATGTTTATGACTTGCCACAAGATTATTATTATTATTATTATTATTATTATTATTATTATTATTATTATTATTATTATTATTATTATTTATTTCAATAAAAAATTTAAAAAAATATTTTCTTTTGTTGATTACAGTTTATCACAAAATTTAATCTTTTGTCTTTTTTTATATTATTAATTTTTGAACAAATAGAGAAAAATAAAGATTGAGAAAAAAAATAAGCAAAAAAGAATTGAAGAAAAATTGATATAGGAATAAAGAGCAAAAGATAAAATTCTTACTTCATCCAACAAACAAAGAAAATTTGTTTTACTTTACGTTTTGTTATTTTAACCCTTTTATCATGACTTAGGGGTCTTAGTCGTCGGCTCTTTTTCCTTTTAACTTTTTAACTTAGGTATAATTTATTTAGGAAGTATGCTTTGAAAATAGATAAATTTTTTTTTCTTTCTTTCTAGTGCTCTCAAAACTTTAGATTCTTTTTTACCCTCTCCCCTCTCTTCTCTTTATCTCCCTTTTTTTTCTCTTTTTTTTATTTAATTTTGTGAGACATTTTTCTCTTCTTCTTCTCCTTCTCTTTCTCCTTCTTCCTTCTTGCTTCTAAGTCTCTATCATCTTCTCATCCATTATTTTTTGATAGTCACAAATTGGTTTTTTCTCCATCATCCTACTAACTCCACCATAAGTACTCAAACCAAAGGAATGTCTCTAAGAATACATTCACATTAATCTTTATATATCCCAGCTTGCATCGCTAATAGTCCCTCTAACTTAGGTAACAACTCAGGCTCAAGTATACAGCCACTCTTATGCAAATAATGAATGAAAAGTGTTGTGTGTGACAAGGACATACAAACCTTTTATACCCTAAACCTAAAAATCTAACTTGCAAATAAATACATTTCTGTTATGAATTATTATATGAGTGAATGTCCATATTCATAACTCCTTCTTATTCTTTGTAACTTACGATTTTGTAACTGTTTTGTTTAATTCTCATTTAAAGAGATACGATTCTTCGATTATAGTTTTAGGTATATAAACAAGTGTCTCATTTGTATTGAGGATACGGGAAATGAAATTGAGATTCTCTCTTCCTCTCTATATTCTTCTCTCTATTCTTTCTTACAATTTTACCTTCATTTCATAATACGTTATCAACACGAGGGTGATCAATTGGATTTTTATATACTTATTTTCTCTCATTCCTATCTCATTAATCCCTTTTTGTGCCTAATTGGTTTTAATTGGACCATTTTATGTTGTTCAGATTTCATTTGGGCTTTATTTAATTTTTCCAGCATTAGGAAAATTCTGACATTGTTTTGGTTTTTGGGTCATATCTTGAGTTGTAGGGCTCATCTCATTGTGATTTTTGATTTGTATAAAAGCTTAGAGATAGGCCCACAAGTTGTATGAAGAGGTCAAAGACCAATTATGGTGTTAAGAAGCTAACTTTGGGCCTAGAAGTGAACTAAAGCGGTGTAGTCGTGGATCCTGAGCAAGATGCAGTATTTGGGCCATATCTCAGTCCACAGACATCCGATTAAGCCCATTCTAGTGGCATTTTAAAGCTGATATCCAAGGCTACAATTGTCCTTTAGGCTACCAATCAAAACGAGGCCGTTTTCATAGCCGAAATAACAGCAGAATGTTACAGATAGAATTTTTAGGGAGAATTTTGAATTTAATTTGTTTTCTCTCTCTCTTTCCTCTCTCCTCTCTCTCTCGACCCCTCTCACCTTTACGACTTGTTGTTTTCCCTCCATTCATGGAGGCTTAGATTTTTATCTAATTCAAGGATTAAAAGAGATGTGACACTCTTGAGGATTGGTCTCACATTGGTATAAATTCAATAACAAATTCAATTTCATCTCTTCCTTATTTTCTCCTTTTGCTAATTATATTTTCGAATTGAAGTTATTTGTTTGGATTGATGATTATGCATCTGTTTGATTACGTATTATTCGATTGATGTATGTAATTCAGTTTTAAGGAACATGAATTGGATTTTCAGGTTTGAAAACTACAATTAATGGCATTGGTAAATTAAATTGACACAATTCAATTAGGTTCTAGAGTTTTCTAAACTTTAAGTGATTATGTGTTAATTGAATGCATGAAGGTTTTCGTGTGAATGATGAGTTCGAATTGAGGTTTCATTGTTAATTACCGAATTGATTGTTGATGTATTCTTTTAAAAATCTGGTGATAGAGTAGTCATTGTTCTTCTTAATTCTTGGATTGAAATTTCAATTTCTGTTCACTCTTCATTCTAATTATAATTAGTTGCGTTTTTTTTTCTTTATAAACAAACCCCCCATCTTATATACTCTCTAAATAGATTAATTCATCCTTGTGATTCTTTGAGAAACGACCCTAGTTGCTTACCTCGTACTATAGTAATTAGGTGTATTTTGACCCATATGCGACCGCGTGTTAAAGGGCTCTACTACACACTTTTGCAAGAAAGGAACATTCTTGAACAAAGGTACGATATTCTTTTATTTTGATTTTTTTATAGAAATATATCATTATTTATTTTAATTATTGTATATATAAATTTGTGTCTATAAAAAAAAAAAATAATATATATATATATATATATATATATAAAAGCAAATTACTAGTAATTTAATATTATTTTTTATTTTTACTTTTGATCATTATAATATTTAGATGATATCTAACTTATTTTTATTTTTATGATAGTATTAAATATGTCGAATCTTACAAACTTTAAATTTGTCGCACTTGATATTACGGAAAAAATTACTTATCATAGGTATTAGATGCTGAAATTTATTTAGATGCACAAGGTCTTGGAGATACTATCAAAGAAGGACATAAAGCATCTAATCAAGATAAGGCTAAAGCTATGATTTTTCTCCGTCATCACCTTCATGAAGGTTTGAAAAAATGAATATTTCACGATAAAAGACCTACTTGTGCTTTAGAATAATTTAAAAGATAGATATGACAACCAAAAAATAGTCATTTTACCAAAAGCTCGTTATGATTGAATGCATTTACGATTGCAAGATTTTAAAACTGTTAGTGAGTATAATTCCGCATTATTTAGAATCACATCTAAAATTAAAATTGTGTGGAGAAAAGGTCACTGATGAAGATATATTAGAAAAAACATTCTCCACTTTTCACGCATCTAATGTGCTCCTGCAG